TGTGTGTGTGTGTGTGTGTGTGTGTGTGTGTGTGTGTGTGTGTGTGTGTGTGTGTGTAAGTGTTGGGGGGTGAGGTTGAAGGCAGCTGGCTGTCATTGCTCCTGCTTAACAAACCACTGGAGATTTCATGGGCATTAAATCGTCTCTCCCCACTCCCAACTTCTGTTCTCTGAATTAAATAATCACAGAGCTTTTCATCTCCTCTCCTTGGTCTTATTTTTCAAACCTGTGCATGTGTAAGTATATCTCCAGGAAGAAAGTTAGGGAAACCAAAACCACTGAGGAGGTGCAGGTGCCTGCTGAGTGAGGGTGCATTGCTTCTCTACACCTCCCCTTTTGGGATTAGGGGATAATTATGGACAATGAAAATAATAGGAGGGGGCTTGGTGGCAGCAGAGGCAGGCATACTGGTGCTGCAGGGGCATTGGGACCTTTTGATCTGCAGTTCTTGTTGCAGAGCCTTCAGTGCTTTCATCTCCTCCAGTTGTTGTTTTCTTTTTTTTTCCCCTGCTGTGCTTCCAAACAGATACTAACCCAACCCAGCACTCAGCCCTCCCTGCTGGGGGCTACTCAGGGGAGAGAGGGCTGGACCAGACCAGTTCTGGTCCCCCTCCCCTCTGGACATATAGGAAATATTTGCAGGCCAGGCCTAGTGTATTTTGAAAAAGTAAAGTGTTGGGCAGGATTCTGTGGAGGGAGGCATGAGAAATGAGGCTGGGCTATAGTGCGGTGGTGGACTGAGCCCAACCATTTAGGCATGCAGGCCTCCCACTGAAGCCTAGGACCCCCAAAATTACATGCCTCCTTTTTCTTTTTTTTAGATTTTTTTTTTTTTGACAGAGAGGGAGACAGCGAGAGAGGGAACACAAGTAGGGGGAGTGGGAGAGGGAGAAGCAGGCTGCCCGCTGAGCAGGGAGCCAGATGTGGGGCTCGATCCCAGGACCCTGGGATCATGACCTGAGGCGAAGGCAGACGCTTAACAACTGAGCCACCCAGGAGCCCCACATGCCTCCTCTTTCTGCAGCCACTAGAAAACTGGGCACAGGACTACCCTTCTCCCAGCTTCTCACACAGACTGGGGCAAGCAGACCCCCTAGTTCAATCTCCCATTTCTAGATAGGGAAACTGAGGCCCTGAACAGGGAAGGGATTTGCTCAAGGTTACATAGGAGCATA